TGTGTGTGTGTGTGCAGGTCAGCGTACCATCGGGGTAATCACCAAACTGGATCTGATGGACGAGGGCACGGATGCCAGGGATATCCTAGAGAACAAGCTGCTGCCACTTCGCAGAGGTATGTCACAAACTCTCTCCCTCTCTCAGGAGTCGGCCTCTTTCTCCCTGCCTCCTCCCCTGGAGATGCTTACAACACTGGTGTGCTGCCCCTGCCCCTTTCAGGATCTTCAGCCGTGACCTCTGAGCTCTCTGTTACCGTCCCAAACCCATTCATTTCTCATTCAAAGAGACTGGCCTATAATTACTCAGCCTGCATGAAGCTTGTGAGCTTAGATCTGGGTACATTCTCATCTTACACGGTGTAAAAGTGAAGGAAAGAAAGACCTAGATGATTTGGAAGACAAACCAAAGATTAAATCAGTCAAAAACACTGAGAAATTATCTGCTGTTCATGTGCTATAACAAGTTTAATCCTAGCTGGCCATCTTGTTTTGATTTGATTATTACCATCAAGGGGAAATATTAGACGAACAGAGCATTTCATCTTTGCATGTTTCAATATTTATGTCAAATGTAGCTGAATGGTTTGACATCCTGAGAGCCAATGGAAACACAAAGTACTGTATGCTCTTGAGGGGGATGTACACTTAGGCGGTGTTTCAGTGTGTGGAAAAAGACTTTGGCGCTATTGGTACTGTACACAATGTACTGTACTGTATTGATAACTGCTTTGCAACAACTGCAACAGTGTGCCAGTGTCATTTGGCTTGCTGTGTATCTGCCAACTCTAATTGGCAAGGCAGTAATGAATCCTGCCATTTTACTGCAATTTGCCATGACGGATGGGTTTAAGCAGCCAAGCACTTGGGTGAATGCTAGAAGGTGACATCTTTTTAATGTCCACCCAAAAAATCGTTTTTTGCAAGACGTCCCTGCTTATCCTTGTTCTGGTTTTGCACATGTCAGCACAGTGCAAGTATGTCTTGCAACAGGTATGAATTACCTTCACACCCATGTATGGTCACTTGCTTTGTTAAGCAACTTGGGGGCCACCTTGTTGTGAAAGGCGCTATATAACAATGAATCGACTCGAATTCCTTGGCCACAGAAGTCAAAATGGAATGAATTCCTTCCTGTCCTGACAGATTAATCACCTTTAAAGGGAGTGATCTGCACAGAAATGTGTTCCTGAAAGATATGGGTCAGATGGTAGAGGGGCAGTGTGGGATGCAATTCACACCCGAGTCAGAATCCGTCATGCGGAGTGATCTCACCCTGCCTGCTTCGTTTTCCAACACAATATCGTGTCCGACAGCAATCTCCTCGACTGCAGAGCTGGTGGAGTTCTTGCATCGTCATTAGATCAGTCTCACAAGCGGTTAATGAAATCATCCTACCAGACTTAGCCATGACATCCTGTACTTCTGTAAGCTTGAGGGAGTCCTGCTGGACTTTAGTCAGGCCACACCAGTACAGGCTGCTATTTCCTCTGCTTACGGGGCTCTACAGTGTATTTTCCATCCACGCATTCAAGGAGCTCTAAAATGATTTCACTCACAGAATTCTCGATTTATATATATAGTTTGTTTTACTATTCTGTTTACGCCGTCACACAAAAAGTGTGGCCCATCAGCACAGATTTCTTGGAGCAGATGTGCTGAGTCGTTAATCTGTGTAGTGAAACGACTGTGTGGTGCCAAAGATGAGAAATTACTGCAGCAGTTGACGTTTTTTTTGCACCTACCATTATAAAATCATCATCAGAGAAGGCAGGGTGAAAACCCTTTCTCGTTTACACTGATGACTTGACGGTGGGAGCACATTTTATAAGCCTTGAAAAACAAGCGTCACTTCGGTTTGAGCCGATATCAAGTTCCTATTTGCATTACGTTGCATTACGACTTGAACGGTGAACTTTCCGGAAAGGTGTTTTGTTCAAGTATCATTCTTCAGTTAGCTTATAGCTTCCAATGTCAATAACTATGACGCAAAAGCTCCCTGATTCTCCAACATAACTATTGAGCTATAGTACTGCTAGGAACAAAACAAACTAATCAGAAAACAAACAAAATGCTAGAAACTGCTTCCGTTTTAGTGCCAGCTGGTGATTGATTAATTGTTTTTTTACAGCTGTGCAGAGCCCCAGCATTTTCCTCAGCCTGAAATTGCAAATTTGTGTTAACAACTGGGACGATTCTTCTGTTCCACTTCTACTGATGTGACGTTTGGTAGCTGTAGACCTGGGCGAGAGAATTCTGGGATTGCAGTGCCAGGTGGCAACACCTTATTGCGAAGCACCTTGCGATTTTTTTGTGGTTGCTGAAATAAATCGTCAGGCCAGCCCAGTCCCATCCTGTTTAAAATAAAGTAAATCAAGCCTGAGGCCCAGTCCAGTCTACCAGGTAAACCAGGTCTCAGTTTCTTCCTGGAAATCCACTCCCGTTTTTGTTTGGCCTCTTTGGCTTGATTTGTCTCCCCCTGCTGGTCAAACTGGGACAGGGCTCGCGGTGGGATTCTCTGGGGCTCTCCCTCTTCCGAAAAGGAAAAAAAAAAACAGATTCCAGCTTTGGGATTTTGTCTGACATGTCTGGAAAAAAGCTCCACCCTCCCTACCGCCCCCACAACCCACTGCTGGTTGGCCGAATATGTTGCTGATCTTCACAATAAATTTATTTGCGGGGAGTCTTGTAATGAAACTGCTGACATGCTTGTTTTCTTTGCTTTTTTTTCCATTGAATCCAGATTTGGGTTGAAGCCTAGACATGCTCTGTCATCGGTCTGCAGACATTTTGCCATCTTTTTTTTTTCCATATAGATAGAATTTTTACTTTCCAGAAAATCCGAACTACTGTAGTCATGTTGGCTCTGTAATTTCAAATTTCCTTTGTGTGTGTTTTGGAGTTGAAACGAAGGGCATGTTTATCTTAAAGGGTAAAATGCCGTCTTCTTTAAAAAAAAAAAAAAAGACTGTTCGCTTAATGTAAAAGATTTTCGAGCAAAACCGGGGTGTTGTGTAGTGGCCAGCCCTCCTGGAAAAGACATATTCTCCTTCCTGTTTAATTTCTGAATTCACATTCTCTCCTTCGACGTTTTCCATGCAGTGTGTGTGCCATCAGGCACAGAGTCTGCTCGCCTCATTCTGCTCTGCTGTAATGTCCTGAAACCTGCTGTGTTCCATCTCACTGTGTAGCTCCAGCCTGGATTACTGTTGTGCTGAATGCACTGTTTCTAAGCTTTGGCTGGTCCAAGACTTTGGCGACCAGAGCATTAACATGCTGCACAATCTATAACTCCTAGATAAGTACTACATTCACTAGCTTCCTGGAACTCAAACAACTGAATGTCTCCGTTCACTATTTAGGCTCCATTAGGACAGCTCGCCTCTCTAACACCATCCCCTCTGATGGCTCGGATATCCTGAAGCGAGCTCTGCGATAGCCTCTCCTGCATGCTCTCCCTTTGCCTTCCCAGGGAGCATTATTTCATTCCCAAAACTTGGAGCTCTCGGTCTAGAGACAGCGAAGGCAGCTCTTCATTAACTCCTTCTTAAAGCGAGGAAAAAAAAACAAACATTCTTGTCCATCCGGGACTTTAATGAGACATTGACGTCTTTTTAAACTGACTCTTGTCAGTTGGTCTTGGAGTCGGGGTTCTGAGCTCCACCAAGGAGTGGGGCGAGATGTGGTGACCAGGGCTCTCTCGGCTCTCAGGGAGAGAGTGACCCCTGCAGCCTCCGGGGCGGTGGACTTGGTGAGGGGTACACCTCTCTTCCAATCAGCTCTCAGTCTCTGCAACGGCGTGTTGAAAGACGTGTTGAAAGACAGGAGGGGTTCAAAGTTGGGGCTGGTCAAAGGAGGTGGCCAAAACTTTCTTTCTCCCCCGTGTGCGGTCACGAGGTTTGTGGGTAGGTGCGAGATGAGTTGAGACACAAGCAACATCTGCCAATGCGTAGTGGCCATTCCCTGCAGACCAGGTTTTATTTTCACAGATCCACTGGGACGACGAGCTTCCATTCTTGAGGGTGGTAAGGATCATGTTTCAGGAAGGACTTGGCATCACTGCTTATAAAAGGGAGCTCTTTTCTTCCCAGGGTACATTGGGGTGGTTAACCGCAGCCAAAAGGACATCGATGGGAAGAAGGATATCCAGGCAGCACTGGCAGCCGAGAGGAAGTTCTTCCTCTCTCACCCTGGGTACAGACACATGGCAGACCGCATGGGCACCCCTTACTTGCAGAAAGTTCTCAACCAGGTGAGCTGCATCAGTACGGAGCTTCGGGAATTCGGTTTCACTCCAATGATATTTTGTTGATTTAATTCCCGATTTTACAAATAACAGAAGCAAACATTGTAGCGTAACTGTTGTTTTTCGTAATTTTTCAATCTGCATTCAGCTGCTTTTAATAATTATAATAACTCCTTACACTTCTATAGCACTTTTTCTGGACACGCCACTCAAGGCGCTTTACAGGTAATGGGGATCCCCTCCACCACCAGTCAGGAGGTTTGTCTGAACATTCACAGCTAGATGTAAATGCATCACATGCAAAAAAAGGCATCATTGGTCACTGCCGCATTCGTGCCTGTGAGGGAGGTTCCTTGCTTTGGAAAAACAGTTTGCCTTCGAGGCCTGTAGAAATGGTGGCTCTGTGCGTCGCAAGAGCAAGGGGTATTCATGAGACTTCTGCACTTTACCCCCTCCCCCCAGCAACTGACCAATCACATCCGGGACACCTTGCCTGGTCTCCGGAACAAGCTGCAGAGCCAGCTCCTGTCCATCGAGAAGGAGGTGGAAGAGTACAAGAACTTCCGGCCGGACGACCCGTCTCGCAAAACCAAGGCCCTGCTACAGTGAGTCCGAGCCCCGTCCGCCGCTCCCACAGCCTCACCGGGGTAAGAGCAGGGGCAAAGAGAGCGTTACTGAATGAAGAACGGTTTTTCGCCCCCCCTGGAGCAACATCTTTCAAACGGACCCGAGAGTACAGATGCCGACGCCTGCTCCTGCAAGCAGGAAGTGAAATGTTACGGGTTAGAAAGGCAAAAGGTGCGATGGCTCTTCCCCAAAGAAGACATTTTGTCTCCGACTGATGAGACAAAGAGCTAACGACTGCGGTGACTCGATTTAGATGCGGTAACCGCGGTGCGGTAATTTCTACACTGCGGTACACTACAGTCATTTCTGAGCGCAGAAATCACAGGGCCGCGGGCCCCACCCACGGGTCACGGACTTTTTGTGCGGGTCCGCAGCCCTGGTTCGCGGTGCCACAGCACGCGTCTGGGGACGGTAATGACCGTGTGTCCTTCTCCCTCCCCGCAGGATGGTGCAGCAGTTCGCAGTGGACTTCGAGAAGAGGATCGAGGGATCCGGGGACCAGATCGACACGTACGAGCTGTCGGGAGGAGCCAGGATCAATCGCATCTTCCACGAGCGCTTCCCCTTCGAGCTGGTCAAGGTGCGACCCCCCCCAGGGGGGGCCCGGAGTTTAACGTACCGTTTAGCCGGAATTCTCTGCGGCCAGCAGGAATGTCAACAAAAACACGAAGCAGAGAGCAGGAACATTATCTAGGGTCTTCCCAGACCTGGCCTGAGTGCATTTTAAACAGACACCTGTTGTGTCAGCATGTGACGGTGCGGAAAGACAAGCAGGGATGACATTAGCAGGAATAGGCACTGTGCCACGTGTGGAAGTATTTTCTATAGCTCTGCTGCATATGCAGTGACCACTTCTAAACATCTCTTCGTGGTAATAACCACGAGGGTGACCTGAGCTGACTATCAAACCACTGACAAAAACGGCTTGGATTCAGAGGACAATGGTGGGATACTTCCTGCATTATGAATCAGTGAAAATGATTCGGGGGTTACAGAACACATGAAACGCTGTGAATTGTGCTTTGAACCTGAGATTTGTTGGGGTTTTTTTTTTTTAAGAGCACAATCCACAATGGCTGTATTTTGTCTCGTGTCATATGTGGATTTCTGGGTAATGGAGTCAGGTGCTCTGCAGGGAAATGGCACAGCCATTAGCAATTTCATGACTGTAGTGCCGGGGCTGTATGTGACTCAGATCTCTTCTGGCACGATCCTGCCTGACACAGCTTTCTGGAAGTCCAAAACGGAAAAAAAAAATAATGTGAGAGCAACAACTAACCAAAGGCGAAATCTGTATGAGTACAGCACAGAAAGCTGGTCAGAGCTAGTTTAAACAGCTTTTATAATGAAAACAGGTGCAAAGCAGGCTCTGATATAAAGCCACTCTGTAGTTTTACTCTCCTTTTAATACCACAGTGCCTTACTACAGTGCATTTGAATACTAAAGGCCATCTTATTGGCAAACCATGAGCTAAATTCCTGCTTTGGTACCACACATGTGGAAGACTTGAAGCCGTCTGCTTTAATTTAATAGCTACAAATGACTAACAGCTCCGGATTGCATCCCCTACGGTGCTCATGAAAAGCTTTATGACAAAACCATTCCACTTTGGTTTTGGAAAGAAACCCAAACAGGCTTGGTACATCGGCAGCCACATCGTCTGTTTTGGTAGTAATCGTGAATATCCCACAATTCCACTCTGCCGTGCAGGTAGGCAGAATGGTTTTGCCTCGAGGTCTTCTGGCCAGTGTGGATGTTTCCTTACATACCGGGCAAGATACAGTTGTATGCAAAAGTCAAATTGCATATTTCTCAGAATCTCTAAGTGAAAACACGTTAGCGCAACATCTGCTGGGTACAAACTAAAGCATGACATATCTCTAATGCACAAAAAACTAAAAACAGTGAATGTGGAAAAGTTTGGGCATCCTGTCAGTCAGTACTCCATACTGACTGACACCTGAAGAAGGCTCCACGGGTGAAACGTTGTGTTCTTTCTTCTTTTTTTCAGCATGGAATAAACCTATTACTTGTTCCTTTGCAGTGCTCCATAACACCTCCTTTGGCAGAAATCCTTTGACAGCTTCCAAAGATTTCTTGTAGCCAGCTAAGAGACTTCTATTCTTGCTTAAGGAATTTTTTCCCCACTCTTCCTTGCAGAACTCTTCTAGCTCGGAAAAACTTAGGTCTTCCCCCAGGATTTTCAAAAATCTTCAAGTCTGGGGACTGTGAAGGACATTCCAAAACCTTAACCTTTCATTCCTCTAAGTACTTGATCTTTGTCTTGCTGAAATATCCAGCCTCAGTTTCTTTCACTGCCTCTAGGACATCAGCTTCTAGGACTTGTTGCTATGTACAACCTCTGGAGAGTATTTACTCCTTTTCATTTAGAGTTTCAGTGAAACATGCAATATGACCAGAGTTGCTTGATGTTTTCAGGGGTTTTTGAGTCACAACAACCCTAGCGCCTTGTACTAGCAGTGAAAAGTCAGTAAAGTACTTAATCCTCAAGACTTTTTACAAAAACATAACCATGCTTCCTCTTTTAGGAAGAATAAGCAAATAGAATGCTTAATGTAAACACCAAACTCCAGTATTACTCAATTTAGAGTCCTAAATAAACTATCACCAAAATCCAGACTAACTTCCAGGTCCTTCTCAAACAAAAGACAAAAGGTTGGCTTTGCCACACCCTTTTAAAACCAGCATAAGGCAGCTAATCCCTCACAGCTGAGACTATTTAGACAGGAAATGGGCAGTCCATTTGCCCAAGGCATCTTGGGACGTGTAGTTCTCCAAGTCCCCTGCACAGAGGAAACTACAAATTTATAAAGAGACAAGGTCAAAGAGAGTAGAGGCTTCTCAAAACTCTCAGCCCAGGGTACACATTTTGTAACAGTGCCCAAACTTTTGCATACAACTGTAAGTAGTTTGAATCCCTGGGTTATTAAAAAATGTGAGATGTCAGGTTTTAAAAAGGTTTTTGACACCTTTAGAGAAATGATGAACACCCAGGAAATCAGATATCATCTCAGCTTGATCTGAAATGTATTTAGTTTTATCTGTTTTTTATTTCCGGAGAGAGTTTCACAGATAGCTTGCATTTTAACAGACCTGCTGGCTGCCACATTCCTTTGCACACTTGGTATGTTCAGAAACCCAGAGTCTAAGCATCAGAGAAGCCCAGAAAAGATCAGAGAGAGATGAGATACAATTATCTGTGCGATAGGTCATCATCGCTAAGCTCAGCCTGTGACCTTAAGGGTAATGGCAAATGTCCCCCATTCCTGGTCTTGAAGGGACAGAATGTTTCCCAGTTTTCTCAATCCCTTTGAATCACCTGAGGATCTGCGAGAAGCTCTTAAACTGGACCAGTTAAGCCAATAATGAGCTGATTTATGAGCCCAGTAGATACACCTGTGCGCAAGATTCAAGATTCAGTATCCTATACCATGGCTATAGGGAGCAGCGGAATATTTGAATCATCCAGGAGAAAGAACAGCCAGTGCCCGGTTTCCCATGAGGCCCTGCATGCACAGCGCCTGGGGCCTACGAACGTTTTGGGGCCTACGAAGGAGAGAAACACTCCTAGTGACTATAAGAAAATAACGAAGTGAAACAACATCCTTGCGATCGACTCTAGGTCCTCCAAATCAATAATCATCTGCTATCTGGCAGCCATTCTAGAACCTAGAAATAGCGAAGTGATGTTTGCTTGACTCTCTCCACCAATCACGTGGTTTAGCATTAGAATAGTGTAAGGTGCCTCATGTCAATCTATGTAATTCAATTGGCGTTTCACCCTCTTTTTGCACATTTCAGAGTGAAAGCGCCCAGGGCCTATGGACAAAATCCAGCCCTGAGAATAGCCACGATTTTCGGAGACTAGCAAAAGAGAACGCTTTGGTGTGGTCGCGGCCTGGAGCCCTGTGTCTTTGTGAAGCCATGCAGGGTGATCGGTCTGCCTGTTGGCTGTTTTCCAGATGGAGTTTGATGAGAAGGAGCTGCGCAGGGAGATCAGCTATGCCATCAAAAACATCCACGGTATCAGGCACGTAACCCCAGACTTTTTCTCACCTCCTTCCCAGTCTGTCTGTCTGTCTGTCTGTCTTCTCCCCGTTTCTGCCACCCGACAGGGGGTGTCTGAGTGGCCCCACAACACTGGCAATGAAGTTTGTGCCCTAAGTTTCGGGGGTACTCGGTGATCATTAAGGATCCTTTTGCCCTGTTTACAAAAACCTCTAAACTACTGCAGTTTGCACCGCTATTGTGGCCAGTCCAGTTGATATTGAATTGACATTTTCCTCTACATTTGCAGCACACCCTTGATGTATCCAAGGACGTCGCTAAACAGTTCTTTAGAAGGACGGGTGTTTATCTGTTGAGAACGGCAAAAATCTCAGGAGCTAAACAATCTCAATTCAATAAAAACAAATGATTTCAAAGAAGAGGCCGCGTTAAGTACAGTAACTGAGAGCCCAGTCAAAAAGAAATCCAGAGCAGGGAAAGTGCCTGTCAGAAGCAGAATCTGTGAACGTGGGCTCAAATATTGCTGGCTTCCTCCTTGCCCTGGTCTCACCTGGACGGCTGTCACACTCTCCATTCTTAAAAGGAAAAAGCGGGCTCTAGATCTCCCCCTAGTGGTCCCTCTGTGTTTGACACCCAGAATGCCCCCCTTTTGGGTAGACTGTTGTGCATTGAGCAGCACGCCTATATGAATGAAAAGACAAGCACATCTTTCCTTCCTGTTCCATTCAGATGCCACCCACTTCCATTCACTCAGAAATGTATTGACTGAATTGGCTTTTTTTAATTGATTGCACTGGGCCGAAGCCAACTTCAATATTCAAGGACTGACAGAGAACATAACTGAGTAAGGGAAGATAAGGGGAGAGCAGACTCTTTTCATCCTTTGTGTATCTGCCATTTAACTATTTAAAGTTCTATTTCCTAAAGCTTCAATCACTCTGTAGCAGGTAGGGAAATAAAAGAAGGTTCTAACCCTTTGTTCACATCTGCCTTGTACATGTATTTCCTTTTGTCTACTTTTTGTTTGCATTCTTCTGTTGTGTAACAATTCTGCTAACCTGACATCTCAAAATAGTTCCTTTAGGTTAGGTTTTGATGGCATGAAGATACACCATATTATTCTAATAATAAAACACATGATTATTATTATCCTCATTATTATTAATAATAATAATGGTTTGCGCATACTGTATGTAGTACTTTCCATCTACAAGAATTTACAAGCAGAAGGGGCCTCAGTTCACTAGTCATTGAAGTGTGGCTTTTAGATGCACTTGAGAGGATAGAAAATGTATTTTTTTTTAAATCACAGAAGGTTTGATGTTTGAAAATATAAAATACCTTCCAGATTTCAGTTAGAAGAGATTTATCATCTTGAATTTCTGGGGAATGAGCAAGTAACTACTCTCATTCGATACTGTGCATCATCACTTTCATAATCCAAATCAAATCTTTTCACTTCATGCTGCTTATTGTTAAGCCTTCTAAAATAAATGCTGTAAATCCTGTTGTAATCTTCCAAAGACCACCCAATGCTCCAAAAGTCAATTTTAAATACATGGACATTACAATTTGAGGAAAAAAATTAACAGGCATGTCAGAAAGATTTTATTTAAAAGCAGTGTGTCCAAACAGGAAAATATTTTAATACAATTTGAGCATAACTAGATTAAGTACAGTTTGAAAGCTCGCCACCTTTTTTAAATTTGATTAAGGTGGAAAGAGTGTGCTCTGGCCCAGAACACAAGCAAGAAGGAAATTTCCCTTACAGCTGAACCAGTAAAAGGAGCTCTTTGAGCCCAGTAGCTGATAGTTGAAGGTTAGCTGTGTGTCTAGGATTTTCTGAGCAAGAACGTACAGTACAATGTGCTACTGTGCGTCTCCAAGGTGAGACCGAGTTGAGCAAGGTGTCCTCAGCCATCTTGTTGATTCATCGGAGTTCCTGCAGTTGTATGATTCACAGAAACTACAAGAATTGTTCTTCGGACATAGTGGTTTATATCAGGGATCCTCTGATTGAATGTTTGCAGTTCATGAGAAATGCCCTGAGCCGATGAGCTCAAAAGTTTGCAATGAGCTAAAGCTTCCCCCTCGAGACAATAATGCGCTGAGACTACTACTGTTAAGACTCAGAGGCTGCATCACAAAGACCAATTACGTCTTTAAAGGTGGGTCTCACACAAAGCATAATAAGAATTCAAACTCTAACCTGGACCCTTACCGGGTTGTGATTTAAAAGGGAACTGCAGTCCCAATTTCTCAGATCGGTTACTAAATCTTGTCGACAAAATAAATTCATTGACAGTATCACACAATTTTACCAATTCTGAATGAAGCACAAAATAGTGAAAGTACTTTCTGAAAGTCCTGTAAGGCTGCCACTGCTGTCGCAAGCTGCTGGTTGTGCTACGGGTGAGAGCGAGGGTTTGCCTGAATTGCGAGGTGATGCAGCCCTTCCTGCTCAGTAGTCCCTGTAATGGCTGATGTAATGCGAATAAATACATATTGCGCAGCCGACATTTCACCGCAGAAATGTTCGATTTAGCAGCAAAGCCATCTTGAGGCTGAGAGCAATATTGCTATTGGATTAAAAGAGATGTTCTCACAAGCCCTGCTTGTTTACTACAGAGTAAGATTGGTTCATGTCACTGGAGGTTTTGTTGCCTTATTCTGAATCACAGAATATGGCGCTGCGCATACCTGGAAACGTAGTCTATTGTGTAATGTCAATTGGAATATTTACACACCACGGTGGTCATTTTACTTTCATCGTGGTTTGAAACGCACTCATCGCTGCCAATTCGCTCTAACCCCGAATTGTGAAAATGGAGTTGCAGTTTTAATCTGTTTGTTTTTTCGCATATTGTGTTTTTTGGCAGATTGTTTTTCTGTTCGATTAACATCTTTCTCTCTGCCCGAACCTTCCTTTCTTTGTTCTGCTGTCTTCCTGCTGGTCAGGACTGGCCTCTTCACTCCGGACATGGCCTTTGAGACAATTGTGAAAAGGCAGATCGCGAAGATTAAAGAGCCGTGTCAGAAATGCGTGGATATGGTCATTTCTGAGCTAGTCAGTACCGTTAGGCAGTGTACGAAGAAGGTAAAGCCCTCTGCAAAAGTCCTCCCCCCCCCAACATTCTTGGCCTTGGTGGGAGGGGGGAGAAGAGCGCATGAGAGCAAACGTCATCATGCCTGTTGCTTCTTAGGGTCCTGAGAATGCCCTGGGGCATTGTGGGGCTGGTGTCTGGATACGGTGGCATGGCAAAGGTATGGCAAAGCCCGGACCCCCCTGCAACCACATTCAGCTCAGCGCAAAAAGACATTTCTCATTGGTCAGTGCCCAGATCATGCCTGCAATCATTGGAACTATTTCGATGTGGTTTCCGTCTCTCTGCCGCCTGCAAATTCCAGTGGCAAATGACGTTCCCCCCCACCGATCACGTCCTGACCTGAAAACACACCCACACGCTAGGTATGTCCGCTAAGCTCTTTGGCTGAGCTGGAGTAGGGGTGGGGCCTTTAAAAGTGAGCGACTCACTGAGAGTTTGATACCTGGTGTTGGTATAGCAGCCAAACTAGCTGCCTGTCTCCAGACACCACATCTGTGACAAGAGCTGTACACCCACGACGGGCTCACCAATATCCTATGAAACATCCACCACAGTGTTCAGGAACAGTTCTTAATATTTTTAATACATTACAAAAGAAGGGGGGTAGTTGTTCTGAAAGCTCTTGGGACCAGGAAACTCTTTGCTCAGCAGACCAGGTCTTTGGTCTACCTTGCGGCATCCAGGCCTTTGTTCCAGGTTCCAGTCGGATCCATAGCTCTTTGGTGGCCTTGGAAGGTGTACGGCTCGTGTTGCCGAGCTCACAGTCTCTAGCTGTCAATAGCAACAACAAAAAAAAGGGAAGGCACAGGTCCCTCTCTTATTTCAGGGACAACTGATGAGGCGGCTGGGAAAAGGAAGCAGTTGTGATCTGGACAGGGAGAAACCTGTGCCAGCCCCAGTCAGAATGGCTTAAGGAGATACCAATGTCTCACTCTGCCTTTTTTCCCCTCCCTTTGTGCTGTTTTCTCCTCCCCCCCCCCTTTCTCCCTCTGTCTTTCTCTTTTTCTCTGGTCTCTTTTCCCCTTGGCACTGCCTTTGCCCTCTCGGTCTCCACTCCCTCTGGGTGACTCTCCCTCTCCCACTCTCCCTCTCTCGGCTATGTGCGTCTCTCTCTCTGCTTCCTGTCTCCTGTTCCTGCCCAACTCCCTCTACAGGACGGGACTCTTTACCCCTGACTTGGCATTTGAAGCCATAGTGAAAAAGCAGATCCAAAAACTCAAGGAACCCAGCTTGAAGTGTATAGATATGGTAGTGAGCGAACTCACCTCTACGATCCGAAAGTGTAGCGAAAAGGTAACAAGGAATGAAGCCCTTTGCGTCCATCTTAGGCTAGGGATAGACCGATGGCTGCATTTGCAAAAGAAGGCTCATTCTCCAGGTCTCCTTTCCCAATTCCCTCGCCTCTGCAGGACAGCCTCCAGGGCGTTCCTCACTCACTGGCGATGGGCTGTCCCAAATTCTAGATCACATACAAGGTTTGTCTGGTACTGTCCTTCTGTTGGACAGTTGCCATATTTGTTCTCAACTTTGTGTGATGTTCTCCTTCTCCAGTGTCCTCTGATTCTCCTATCTCCCAGGGACTTGTCTAAGTTTGTGATCTCAACACGTTTGGATGGGGTGGCAGGATCTTGCTCATGGAGGAAAGTGCCACAAAACAGCAAGGCAACTGATATGGCTGCTTAGTGTAGGGTTAGACTGATGAGCCCATCAGGTCATCTTTCCATCTGTATTGATCTCTCCATCCACCTATCTCTTTGCCTTTCTATCTGGTTCCCTACCTACTGATCAGCTGTTCTCTCTGTACGTCGCTTATCCTTCTTGTATCGTGAGTGCATCATGAGATCAGTGTATTTTTTTTAAAAAGCTTTTGGGTAGAGGTGCATGCTGCTCTTGCTGAGAGCCCGCACATTTTTGTTTCGTTTTTTGGCCGACGCCATGGAGACGTTGATCGTCCCACTTTGGAAAAAAACAAAACAAGGAAACCAAACCCTTGAGTCCATAACTGCAGTTTTCAAGTTTTGAACTTGAAAATATCTGTCAGAACAGTGCTGAAAAATCCAGCTGTCTTGTGCTTCAGTACCTTTCCGATGACACAAAATACAGATTTTAGCATACTTATTCTCAGCATTAATGCACTCTCAAGTGCTTTTAATCCATTCAATGTACCCTTACATTCCCTCCATTTTAAAGAAATGTAAAGACTATTTCCCAACATCTGGCCAGGTCATTAACAGGTAAATCACAAATGAGCCCCAGTGGTAGATTTTGCCATGTAAGGAGAATGTGACTTCGGTCAAAAGTCTAAAGAGCATGTACTAATACACAAAAGAAATGCAACACCCAGACCTAATGGATGTAAACATAGTCACTGCGGCTGTTTTGAGCTCCTCCACAAGTATTGTGCATGACTGTGCATGGTCAGTGTGTTTCCAAAGACTTGCTGCACAAACTATGATGAAGATCGATTTCTTAACCTGTCAAAATCTTCCCTTGGCCTTTAAAGAGCCTTTCGGGACAATTTTACTGTGGGCTTTAAACTAGGGAAATGGTTTCTCCCTGAGGTCTGTAAATGCATATTCATAACCACCAGTTCAGGAATGAGCATGCTGCTCAAGGACAGGTATTGAAGTCGGGGTACCCAGCTCCGTTCTTCATCAAGAGCAGGGGTATCAAAAGCCCTTAGAGTAGGGGGTCCCCAGTCCTGATTCTGGCAGGCTAGTGTGCCCCAAACCTCTTTAAATCCCTAGATCCTAGAGAGCTGAGAGAGCCTATTAAATTGGTCCACTCCTTGGGGTTGTGAATTGGTCCTGATGGCAATAATCCCCAGGCCATCTGAGCCTCACATATCACCTACTGGGGTCAACTCTGGACAGAAAAGCATGTAAAAACTTTCAGAGATTGGAGTCAGGCGCCTGCAGGAGTCAGTGGCCCTTAGACGAGACTGTGTCTGACAGTGGAAAATGACACAAAAGTGCACACTTTCAGATTAACATAAATTGCTCTAATTACATTTTTTTAGGTTTCTTCTAAATGGGGTCTATGAAGCCTTCATTGACATTGTTAGTGATATAAATATATTGCATCTCTAACAGTTTTAGTTGGTTCCTTTTCCCAGTGGACTGTCAAAGCATGGGAAATTATTCACTGGATTTATATTGCAGGTTCTGTAGAATATTTGGGGGGAATTCCTAGACTGAGTCAAATCTCTTCCCTGATAAGGTTGTGCATGCACCAGAACCTAAGTGATTTCAACCAACAATAAAAGATTGTGTATTACAGACAGTCCATATTTCACAGTCCGGAGGAAAATTAAACATGTATGTGGTCATGTTTACACAATCCTAACATACTTGCTACTTGAGGGACTGTTTCAGTGCTGATTCATGGAAATAATGAAGGGTTTAGTTTTCCTACAAATAAAAGACTTCATCTCCCTCAGAAAGCTTTTTTCTTTGTGCTATTAAAATTGGCAGCCATTATATTTGACGCGTCTCTTGGGAAAGTGGAGAGATGAACTAATGATAAAGTCAGGGGACGTGGCCAACTTTTGCATCATTAGGAGAGTCTGGACTCAGATTTTCCAAAGTGCTTTTCTAGATCTTCACAGATGTTGCTGTCATTAATACTGTGAAACAATTCTTACAGGCTTTCAAGTATGGTCTACTTAACTGCAAAATAACTTACCTTTACTTATAAAAAACAAATTTGTAAGGCATTAGGTGTAAGCAGATTCAGATAGGACTCCAAGCTATTCCCATAATTTAGATCTGACATATAAATTATGTTATAGTGGGTCATTTTAATTTGGTGTGAACTGAATTGAATTGTAAGATGGAACTATCGATGAAGAAATTTTAACAAATCTATTTTGTCTTGAACCAAGTGTTGTTTTAGGACAGAAATAGGCTTCAGTGCTTGGAAGACCAAGTCCCTGGAATGTTTTTTCAAGAAGAAACTGTTTTTAAAATAATTATTTCAAAAGCAGAGTTAAGATCAAGGGTGCAATAGAGAACCCGAAAGTCTAAAGTTGGCCATCCCTGTTATAAAAGGAAGACAAAACTTAGAATTTTAAACTGACTAGCCTACTTTTTCAGTACTGTTCATCTTTTGAACAGGTTACATTGAGAACTTTCTTTGACATTATTAATATCATAGATCCCCTCCTTTATATATACACTCATGCAGCCATTAAGATGAAGTCATTTTAGTGACTATGTGTGATGTTTGATTTTGACAGCTTTCTCACCAAGCTTCTAGTATAGAATCCTTACTCTTTGGATAACTAAGACAAAAAAAGTTTAGAACGGACACTTTAGGTACTTCTCTTAACTGCTCGTGCAATAACTCAGACAAAAATATTTAAATAATTAAAATATGTTGCCAACCAGTTCCTTTTACGTTTTAAACATCCCCGAGAGGAGATGAACCGCACTGTCCCCCCTCTCTGCTTACTTCAAGGGTTTAGAAGTAGTCACACAGATCTGATTGGAAACAGCAGCCCAATTTTTTCCCCATTCTTTCCCAGCAGTTAATCGGTCTATCCTTACCACAAGATTATTATTTTATTGTCTTTAATTTTTTTTTTCCCCATCCAGTGTCCAGGAACATTTCTTCTAAAAGAAACGGCACCCACAATCTTTGATTCTTTTGGAAAAAAAGAACTGAAAGCATGCCAGTTATATTCTTTTTTTTTTTTGCCGATTTTTCATTGTTCCTCTTCATTCCATTTCTGTGTTTTCAGTTTCCTACCGATTTCTAATTTTTGATTTTTGGGGTTTTTTTTGCTTCTCCACCGATATGGGTGATCAAGAAGATTGTGTTCCACACTTTGACTAACAAAGTGCACCCTGGGCACTGTTTAATTCCTCATTATTTATTTCACAGTATTGCTTCTTCACTGGGCAAGGATAATAAAAAGATCATTTGAACTCCTGTGGATTTAGACAACACCAAAGGGGTAGATTATCTTTAATAGTTTAGGATGCTAAAGTGCACTTAAGTTGCAGAGCTCTTAACTTCACATCAAACACTATGAATGCAGAAAAGTGAACTTTGTCCCCCTTTTAAATAAGCTTTTCTAAATGTTATCCGTCTGTGATCTGTGGCTCACCCAGCTCAAAAAAATATTAAATACGATATATAAACCTAATTAAACAACACGTGACAGTTTGGAATTGGTATGAGGATGACAGAAGTCAGTAACCTAAAAAGAAAATTGAAATGGATTATGAGACAACAGAACCACATATCAAAATATGAGCTCTTGTGGTGCCTCTTAACTGTGGAGTGGGCTGTGCAGTGGAGAATGAAGTGTTTGTAGGTCATAATGTTGGGCTGCTGAGAAACAATCTTGGCACAGTGATCATTAGAGAAGGTGGCCGAGCTCACCAATTCCATGGCAGTGCTCGATCAACAGAGAGACCAGTGGAGTTTCGGGTGTTTTCAAGGTAGCTGAAACAGAAATGAAGATCCGTGCACAGCTCATTGTTCCTGTGCTAGGTAGTTTCTGTGCTTTGCCTTTGCCAGGAGAGTGGACCCGTAACTGGGTTTGCTGGCCTCGCGCACGATTGAGCTTGCGTTTTCTAAATTGGGAATTTCGATCGCCGCATTTGAACAAAAGCTACAATCCACAGGAGATCATGTGGTTGAGAGTTCTCTCCCTAATCTCCTTCCCTTCCCCTCCCCTCCCCAGCCTTCCTTTGCCTCCTGTTTCTTTGTCGATCTGTCCCTACCTGTGCACATGTGCTGGCCTGCATGCCTGACCTAACTGCGATGTGTTGTTTAATTTGTGCATGAAGATAAGCATTGTGTTGCCGAGTGGTGCAGAAGACCGTCGACATGCTATTGTTTACCTGAAGTTCAACACCCCTAAAGTTTCAATGCATCCTGCAATGCAGAAGGGGAGAAAGCAGATTACCAAGTGTGAAGCCTAAACTTTGAGAGCTTTTTTTTTCTCCCTGGTTTATAAAACCACCCTATTTTCCCTTGGTCTCTTGTCTTAAAGCTGAAAGCACATAAGAGGTGAGTTAACCGGGTAGAATCACAGACTGACTTCACTAGCAGTGGAGTCACTAGAAAATATGGGTAATGAAAAAATAGATCACAAAAATAAAGTTGAATGAGAATCCCAAAACTATTTGAAGAGGGGAAGAATCTGTTTTATCCCCCTCATCTGCATTGTCTCTTGCAGAAGTCAAACCTCTAATGGCATCCATACAATTGGAAATACATCTGGATATCCCAAAGTTCAACAATGTCCTCCAGTGATGCATCAAGTAAAAATGTCCTTTTAGGTTTAAACTGCGATGACACACTCCGATAGAAATGTGGGACTTATCAACGCAGACAACGTTCTTGTAAAGATGACCCAAGTTTAAAATTGAATTAAACTCTCTGGGAACTACATTTTGATTCCTTTAAGGTATTGCTTAAACACAACTCATACGTTCTGACTGGACCTACACAGTCCTATCTTCATCTGGAACAGCAGGATGCATTGTAACTTTAAGCAGTCAGCACTTTGTTACTTCTAAGACATTTGCCTAACCGAGTTAATTTCTTTTCGCTACCTGCCTTCATTTATGTCTGTTTTTGTATGCTATTGATCCGTTTTTTGGTTACCATGAACAACCATTTATTTAGCTATTGGTGTATGTGATGAAAAAGGAAAGTATCAGTGTATCATATCAGTACATAGGACACACCAGCAGTTATCGGTCAAACAAAGTGATCCTATGCTAAGGGATAACCAAAGACTATTCACCAACAAGTATTTCATTCACTTATGTTAGGCAAATCGACTGCACCGTCTTGAAGAAAAGTTGAACTTTTTCGGAATCAGCTTTGCTTGCTTGCTTGCTTTCTTGTTGGTGTGGAGTCTTTGAGGGGTTTAGGGTTTTCTCAAGCTGCTTCCATGTTGGTCTGGGGTGGTACTGGTCTCTCAGAAAGAACACTGGAAGCAGCAGCAGCACAAAAGGAGCACAGTGAGCAGAGCATCTGGTTTTAATCCACGTCAGACGCCCCCAGAACGCTGTCAGCTCTCGTCTGACGGAAGGAAGGTTGCTGTGACAGTAGTGCTATCAGCACATTCTTAAACCACTGCATTCTTTATCTGTGCTCGGGCTGGGTTACATAGCCAAACCGTCTCATGTTACTTCAGGAGACCACGGATCTGATTTTCATTTTATGGGTTGAAATCTTGTCTTATTATAGATTTTAACCGAGGGGCTGGTTCTCATTCCCTGCTGCATAGAGTTAAGATTTTCCTGTGAGAGCGCTAGCACAGGCCCTCGCAGTCTGTGAGCTGACATCACCTCTGTGCAGCAACACAGAAGATTGCTGACACTTTCACAGTTTTCTAACTTCATTCTCATTCATGATTCTGTAAAAAGAAATGATAGAGGATAATTCGACACAGTAGATCGTTTTAAGAATGAAAAAATTCCAAGTGAGGAACAATTTTTAAAGGACTCCTTGAAGTACAGGACAGATTTCAGCTGGTTTGTCATGATTTTTCCACTTTGCTGAAGGCTGTCATCTCCAGTGCATTCAGTGAGGATTCAAAGGGAAACGAAGTGGAGAAGTTAAAAATCACAAAGCTCCGGTAAACTGTCTATAAATTGAGTGAATAAGAAGCATTGTGCTGGACTTGCCATCAGTTTACTCCAGACATACAGTGCACATTACAGATCCCAACAATTTCATTTCTTTTACTTCACTTTAACCTCGAGCTATAGTGAAACCTGGGTTCTAAAAGGCTTTTACAAATGATAAAAGTTAAGCAAGAATAAGGAAAACGTACCAATCATTACTTATCAACCAAAGGGAAAAGAAAATAGTAACTCACTCTGAAGTCATTTTAGATTTTCTTCTGTAGCTGCGCTGAGGTGTTCAACTACTTTAATTCCAGCACAGCTATAGCACTGAAACATCATCACGGCTGTTCAGCCCTACTCATGAGAGGCAAAGGCCAAGATGATCAGCTATAGAGGAATGTTTCAGACCATGAACAGCATTGCTCAAAGATTAGATCCTGAATCATTCACAAACTGGCTTTCCCCAACTAGATGGGCATAGGCGCCTTTTCATGAAAACCTTTACATTTTTATGAAGCTGACTCATCGCTTGAAGGGTGAAATAAAAAGTCCTCAAATTAAGAGAATCCCGCCTGGGCTAAATTTATACACTAGCTTAAATTATTTTATTTTTTATGGCTGATCCCAGAGGCAAACATTTAGAATGCAGTCGTTTGCTTCTCTGCCCGCCACCAGCAACCAGTCATATTGTTCCAGATGCCTTCTTGCTAAACGTTAGGAGAATTGTTAGCAGCCTGGGGGCACACCCCAACATACTCTATCCCAGATGCTTGCCTGCCAGTTTTTGCACTCCTGCTGCCCGGTGCCATCTTGCAGGCCTGGCGTTATTGTCAGATACCCACGCTCTCACTCTGCTTTGTCTTGTAGCTAGCACAGTACCCTCTCCTGCGAGAGGAGATGGAGCGCATCGTCACCACCCACATTCGGGACCGCGAGAGTCGGACCAAAGAGCAGGTAGGCCACCCCCCAGGTGATCAATTTATTGCCACATCATCTGGGGTACTACTGAACCGATCAGAGGCATGATTTTGTTTCAGGGGTCACCGACGTTGCTGTTAATCTACCTGGTGATGCCTTGTGACAAGGTCTTGGGCATGTCATCATGGGATCTTAAAATAGGTAGGTCCAGGTCAGACACACTAAAAACCAAGCTGTAAGGTTTCAAAAAGACTCCCCAGTGCCAGGAGAATCAGAAACATCATAGCCAAACCACCAAAACAAAAACTTAAGCTCTTTTCATAGCTACTTACTACACTTCTTGAAGCCCCTAACTATTCCAGGCTAGCAGCTAAACCACTTACCAGAACCAAACAGACTATTCACAAAAACAACCTCCCTCTTCACAAAAATTCACAATACTCACAAAGTTCCTCTCTTCATCACTCAGTCCTTCTCCTTCTGGTGAGTGGTGTGTGTGCACACAGGGAGTTCTGCTCCCTCTGACATCAACCATCCTCTCCCACAGCATGACACCAGAAGCCTCTTCTTCCTGCTTTTTAAAACAGATACCTGACCAATTGGCTTCCTGCAACTGGTCAGGTGACACAGCCGCAGCTCCTCCCCGCAGAGGTTTCTGGGAATTGTGCTCCAGACAGGTCTGAGCTCTCCCAGCTTGTAAATTGGAGCAATTAAATGACTAATTTGATGATTAAGGCACCACGATGCCATGATTGTTTAAGTGGCTTTAGAAGAGGTGAGATTGACCTCTTGTTGTCAAAGGACAGGAAAACAGATCAAACTAAAATCCAGAGGTTCTTTATGTGGGTGCATGAAAGTTTGAGCAGTTGAAAGGTGCCTAATAAAGGTGCCTACAGTGTTCATAACAAGACCTCTTGTTCCATTTTATCACTGTCATTCTCAGGTGATGTTGCTCATAGACATTGAGCTAGCCTACATGAACACGAACCATGAGGACTTCATTGGGTTTGCCAAGTAAGTAAGTTTCTCTTACCTGCAGATGTATTCACAGGCTTGAGCAAGAGTGAAGTACATTAACTAACCTGACATTTCCTTTCTGTGCAGTGCTCAGCAGAGGAGTAACCAAATGAGTAAGAAAAAGGCTTCTGGGAATCAGGTAAGGAGCTACAGACTCAGATTTCAGTCCCATGTTTTCTACTTTGTCCTGCATTTTGCCACTGCATTTGCTAAACATAAAGGCAACCTGCTTTTGTAGAGGTGGCATTCATGAGGGATGGTAGTTCTAGCAAGAAAATGTGTGGGATTTTCGAACTGCTACTGAACTGAAACAAATATCATTTACTGTCCTTTTGTCAGATGGACAGAGTGGCTCTGTATTTCCAGCCCAGGCTGTCCTAAAGAGAAGTTGAAAGCTGACCAAGGGATGTTATTTTGGGAGTTCATCCTCTGCAAAGCCTCTGTATTTGCTAAGAAGGCGACAGAAGAAAGAGATTTGAGGGATCAGTCAATCTGAAGGGTCAATCGAAATATTGGAAGCTAAATTCTTCTTTATTTACGTTACTATTACATCACATTTACTACACTCCACTTTGTCTTGGAATGTAAGGATTGGGTGACACTGAGTGCCACAACACTGGGCAGATCTTCTGGGGAGATTTGCTGGTTTACGCTCAAAGATTGATCTTGGATGGTCAGCTCCATAGTGCAATTTAGATCAGAGATGTCCAGTTCTGGTCCTGTTTTCTTTTTAAAGGTAGTATTTTGTAGGTTGTAGTTGGTTCTAAATGCAGAGTTTCTGTTTTTCCCCCTGAGTTCTATAAGAACATTTATTAAAAGGTATTCGGTTTTAATCATTAAGGTCAAATGTCTAGGTCCTCATATTAAATTACACTTTCCTATACCCTGGTATGCTATAGTAAATGGTCCTTGAAAGATTAACCATAGTATGTCAAAGTATTCCTGCAATCCAGTATACTTAATTTTAAATGTATGTTAAAACCTTAGAAACCCACATCAACACTGTGGTGAAACATTTGCTAAATATTGTTTGAGAGTGAGATTGCAGAGGGCAGGAAAGATTTCCTGAGTCTATAACCATAACACCTTGGGACACACAGACATCTCTCAGATTGGAGAAGTGTAAATACGCAGTGGAGAGAATGTTAAAACATTTTTGCTAAACGATTTGAAGAAAAGTGCTGAAATGGTTTTCTATGGCCTTTTTATGTCAGCGCATTTATTCTATATCAGGTTTTTATCTTTGATCAGTCTCAAGTGGCCGTATTAACCAGCAAGCCCTAACCACACAACTCAGGTTGATCCTCTTGAGTATAAATGCTGTGAACGTGATAAACCTACTGTAGTATGCTTCTTTGGAAGAGGAGAGAAACATATACGATGAAAAGCAAGCACAGTTTGTGATAGAAAGATACCAGTCCATTTGCTGCTTTGTCCATTGGAAGATAGTTATTAAAGGAAAGCTTTCATGTCATGTCATGTCCTCCCAAGAAGTCGCAGAAGTCATTTCCGGTATTTTCCTTATACTGGAACACAAAATCAAATTCCAAGCAGGTGCTAAACCAGAGAATCACACAGGAGCTCCAGTCTTGAGCAAGGCCATTAGAAATCCCATAGGCAGCCCACTGAAGCTCAGCAGGTG